TGTTGACAATTCAGTAGCATGTTTGCTTTACTTAAGAACGTGTCCAGAGCTGCACCCGCATGTTTACTGCAGTGATCGCTGATGCTGATAAACGGAGTTAGTTGTTCACTGCGTTTTCATACAATGATAAATACCAGCGGTAGGAATATCATGGAATGCTGTCGTGCTCAAACTATCCATGGCATAAAAAGGAACTGCACTGGGCTACTCTGATCGGAGTTGTACTGCTTTCATGCATCGTTCCAGCCGATTACACCCGATTGTTCGGTCGCGTCCCGTTTGTGCCCAGTTTTCGCGTTCCACCTATTCGCGGCGGAATCACCGCGCAGTTGTTAAGTATGGCTTCAGCCAAATCGGGCCATTTGCCTTCCACTGATGTGTCCGCTTCACCAGAATCTACTGGACAGGCCGGCCTCAGCACTGTGGCCGGGGCTGCCACAGTTGGTCTACCTTTATCCACCGCCTTTCACGCATCTACTCCGTCCACCACATTGAGCTTCCCTGGCTCACTGGAGTCAGGCGCTACCTCGACTGTTGGTCGATCACCGATCGTTACGCTCGCCTCGCATCGTACAGCATATGCACATCGACATGACCCCTCCGAATATTCAGTAAGTGCAAAATCCACTCGTTGGTTTTCTTTTCTGTTGGTTATCGATTTATAAATGTTCAGTCTTACCACCGAGTCTCTTTCAGCACATCTTAAACAACGATTTTTAACTGACGCATTTCAGTCGAAACAACTGGTGATAGAATAGGAATGCTCTGTTTTTAGTTGGTCTTTTTCTCCGCCATGAGCGTCTTCAAGCTGCATTTCGGGTATTGCATACCCAACTCCAATGAGTGTTCTCTGCTTGTCCCTGTTGGGTGTTGACAGAAGGTGAACCCGTGACTCGACGGAGTGGATTCATTAGTTACTACTAGGGTCAAATCGAAGACTACAGATAATAACGGGTTGCTTCTACAGTTCACGGTTATTGAAGTTATTGAATCGGAATATGAGTCATGTAATTAACTAAGTTGCCGAACGTCATTTTAGCTCGTTGTTAGTTTGGTTCCTTTTAAAAGATGGTGTCTTGGCAACTAAACATTCTAGTAGTCTACGACAATGATCCCCAGTCCAAATGATGTTGAGTAAGTTACGATCAATCAATTACGAAACATCGAATGTTGTGTTTCATCGTCAATTAACTCAACGTGTCTGACGCCACTGTTCTTTTAACTCCAGTTTCATCGCCCAATGATAATTTTCCACTTTCCTTAGGCATTATTAGACTTCGATTCTTGATGTTTAGTAACCGATCTCTGAACAGTTATTATCGGATAATACGCATCGAAGTTGTAGCAATCGCCATTGCATCTTTCATTCCGAATCAGTTAGTTTTCCAAATGAGTTTATTTGTCTAGTTCTATCCTTTATTCTGTTTTTCAAATCTCAATAAGCACATACTAGCATGTTTCAAACTCACAAGGGTTTATTGCACAATAACCAAAACCGGCAAGTATAACCTCACGAAGCATTGTGGCGATTTGATGAGCGCTTGAATATACTGCGCATAATATTGTACAACTCATTTTTTTCTGACGTTCATGTAGTTTTGTCGCGTTCGTCTCTGAATATTTGTATGATAAACATAATACGAATTGCTTTGAGGTTCGCTGTTTCTTCACGCCCATTTGCGTTCTGTCTGAAAATTCAAACCCCAATCCCACAATTCAGATCATACGGTCGTTGATCAAACATCTATCCTAATATGTATGCAATATGTATGCAAAAGACAGCAAGTAAGTGATAACGAACTCAAATCGTCACATCATTTACCCCAACAAACCCATAATGTGGACGAAAAATTGACTTACTACCATAATATGTTGGTGGTCCAAAATAAATGGTGGAATTCATGTATCTATTCTACGCTGTTATTCTTTTTTTTCTTTTAAATATGCAGAGAAATGTGACTATTGAGAACAGGAAAAACTAGCAAATACTGATCTTCAGTGCGGTCTAGTTCGATATTACGTATTCAGAATTGGAACTTATTTGCTTCGAACTTGCACTACACACCTTGCGCTTCCCCAGGCTAAAGAAGAGAGGTTCTTGAACCATTGAATGAAACGTGGTTTGCATTGCCCCAGGAGGGGATGTGTTCAAGATCGGAGTCCAGTGACAATAGCTGCTCTACGTTCACCATGGTTATCGCTATGTGGTCGATCTGTGTCTGTCGCTGACTCGAGGAGGGTGGGAGCCAAGCGTCGTACCGGCAGTTGGAGCGTCTGAAGTTCGTACTGGCGAGGCACAGGC